CAAATAATGGCAGGTGCATGTAACACGAAGTATTCTCAGTCTAGCTAAAGCAATCCCATGGCCCAAAAACAGCTTCCCTGATTCCGAAGCAAAAACCCCTCTAAGGAGCCCCCTGGTCTATGTGATCTCACTCCGGAGTATACCGGATCATCGCCCAAAATCATGTCTGCTAGGTTTGTTGCTGCAGTATGGTCTTTGTGTTTTGTCCATACTCCGTGTGTACTGGTCTCCTGTCGCAAAGCGATTGTGCGTGACTTCTCTAGGTGAGGCATGCGAGAAAAATAGAATGTCCGCACTCATTCATGCCCTCGATTTGTCTCGCTGCATTCCACTCCGCCTAACCCTTCGGGTCGATCCTCTGTCTACAGTATGTGAGGATTGTCAGTACCTGCGCGTGGGCTCGGAGCCAATCAACTCAACCCCTTCGCTGATCAATTATACAGGCGAAAACAAGAGACGAGTGGCGTAAACAACTGGCCTCGACACTTTTGCGGTGGCACACGGGACGTCGCTCTGTCCAACGCCGCTTTCGCGACGCAGTACACGTGCAATCGTCCGGCTGACAGACTGCTCCCATTATTCTGTACAGAATAAATCATCTTTCCAACAGGCGTCCAATTCTTCCCTTTCTGTTCAAGATAGAGCGAGAAGATCGCAGTTACTACGGTCGTATCATTGACAATAGCTATTTCGATAGATCTTCTAACGCAAGTTCCACTTGATCATTTCAAGTAGACCGTCGACGATGCTGGCTTTACGACAATGCCCGGAAACCCCAAGTAACACCAGACCAACAGTCAGAAGGCTTGTCGCGCGGATACACATGCCTATGCACTAGACGGATGTTACAAGCATCACGTGGGATTCACATATTCAGACAGCATTCCTGGTCATACGTCAAAAAGCTGTTTATAGCCAGGGCGTCTGTCTTGTCATTTGCAGACGGTAACTGGGCTTTAGAATATCCTTCCCTAAAGGGGAATTCCCTCAGCATAACACGGAAAAAGAGATCCAAAAGCAGTGGAAATTGACCGGGTTAGACTGCTTACTGCAGGTTTTGCAGATGAGTCGACGTTTACAGTTACAGTGCGTGACATAACTCGTGAAATCTGATAACGGAAACGGATGCGAGAATTTTTGGACGTATTTAGCGTTGCGCATTTTATTTGCTCATCCACTTCCTTCAATGAAATGTCCTTTTTTGTGCAGAAATCAAACATATATTTGAAAAGTGTGGAAACATTGTTACAAAATGTTTACGCTGTTTTGAGCATTTTAAAACGAAACAGTACATCTTTCATTTTTGAATATGCCTGGAGTTCTAAACGATTTGTAAGCCTACCCTCAATTCTACTTGCCTGTAGGACTTCCAAATTACTAGCCGCACGATTTGCATTTTAAGACAAATCATCTATTCCGTCATGCGAATTGGCAGAGTGCATAATGTACTTGTGAGTTTATAAAGTGAATGTGGATGACAGTGTGTACTTCACAAGAAAGAACGACATTTTTCAGTTTATAAAAGTCCAAGTCATTGAATTTTTAAACCCCTGATGTATTCATCAGTTACTGTACGCGGTAGGACGTCGTTTTTAGAATGTTTAACTTTTGTAGTCGACATTTTTGAATTAGCTAATTGTAAATAATCTAGGCATCTATTACAGTGAAGACAGATGATACAACCGCAACCGTTTTACAATTGGATGTTAATTAGCATGTGACATGTGGGAAATCCTGCTTGCAAAGATAAAATATGGATCATGAAATGCACGGTGTTCCATGATATTGTAAACAGTTGTCGAAATAAGTTTACTGAATAAAAGCAATAAAAAGACAGAAAAAATCGTACCCGATAGTTTACAAATTCATCGACCTTCTGTACTTATGGTTAAAAATAAGCTGGTCAAGATCATGTAGTGTGGGATACCTGCAAAACAAAAGAAACAACTCACATGAATCTGATGACTACAACGAATTCAATTTTTCGGAAATTCGATGCAGTCGGCCTTCCATTCGTTCAAATGTCTCTAGTTTCTTTTGGGATGGAAGTGGCATAGTCTTCCCCCCTTCTGCTAGTGAACGACGTACAGAAAGTGGAAATTTAGCAAATCTCCAAGTAATCAAGGATTGCGCTTTTACACCAAAAAGGAATCATGTGGAGACTTTGATGTGACAGTGCTCCAAATTGAATGTTGAACCTACAGCAAGTGGTCTAACTCATGAAATATTGCGGTCTTAATTTGAATGAAGAGTATTTCGCTCATTCGATGCAGTTATTTGTATATATTAAATTGATTTGAGGCCCCGGAAGCCACTAACTGAAGAGGGATTCACTTCAACTTAATTCTGGTAAAGAAATGCAAGTCAGATTTGGGCGGAGTCAGACGTTTTTGATATCCAGGTAAGTTCTTATGCTATTGAAGTTAACAGATAAAATCGCATATTTAAACGCATTTGTCTATAGTCAGTCGTGAGGCATGTCCGTGTTCTTGCCGCATATGATGAGGTGAAATGTTCTGTTTAAGGGTGGGGTTGTGTGCGCGCAAAATAGTGTAAGGTATAGGGCTAAAAGTGTTCGGGCGAAGGTTAGGAAAGTTATCACGAGGGTTTTATCTAGGAAGTAAGGATTAGATTTAGATTTAGGACACGGTATATATGCTGCCTGGAATTAAGAGCAAGGCCGCCTTTAGCATGACAAAAAATTATGCAAGTGCTCGACAGTGTCCTCATTCTATGGCATTATCTAACCTAGCAGGCTTACAATTGGGCTTTGAAAACAATCCTTGCTGTTATGAACGGGTTTTTGCTGTAAACGCAAGTGCACTGAGTTGGCCTCAAGAGACACTTATCGCCCTCTCGTGCTCTGTGGGAAGGGGAGTGCATCACGCGATGCGACTGACGATGTCAGCTAAAGGCAGCGTTTGCCAGAAATTAGTCAGACTCCCTCCTGAGAAGATACTCTTACAAATGAAATAAATCAGAACACGGAGGAGTCCCCAGGCGATTTGACCAAACTCTCTACTGTTTCTCTAGATGTTAAAAGGATTACCAAGCTCCAGACATAGTTGTATCTTATCTCGCTGTATGCGTCCGCTTTCCACTTCAATATTTTACCGTTTGATCAAAAGTATCCCCCTCTACGCCCACCACGCAAGGGAGTTAGCTGGGGCCAGAAACCATACAGTTAATAAGAGCACTAATACACTTTATTTCGCCGCGAACGCCTGAGCAGTGAGCAGGTCTAAACAGTCGCTTGCAGCTTGCTGGCGCACTATCGGATGGAGGTTGCGGACACGCGTCCAACAGACACTTCAAATTGCGCGAACTGCCGCTGTTCTAGAGGACTCATCAGAGGGATATCCAGATTATGGTATCAAGGGCAGGCATTTCACAGACAGTCGCGTAGCTAAAAAAAATACTGACTCGCAACAGAATCATCGTACAATGTACCGAAAATATAATCCACCCGTGGTGTATACTTTTTGAATAGTTCAGCCAATCACGTAGTCTGATGTTTATCTATAAATAGTTTTCCAGTATATGAAGACGGGATTGTAATGAAAGTGGGAAAAGTATTAGCGGAGATGGGAACGACTTGGGAGGGTTTTACACTATAGACATTACCGTATCACCTTAATGCCACTATTTTAAATAAAACCAGTAATTAACGAGAGAACTTGGTGTAAATGCATTTCAATAATCCTTTTAAGCCTTGCTCCGACAACAGATGTGCACAGGGAACCACCAGCTACCGTACAATACCCGCAAAATTATTCACAAACTGCAAGCGATTGGTTAGTAGTATAAATATACCGAATAATTTGCCATACTGGCGGCACGAGTCATTGCTCAATGCCCATCACTTTGTCCCCAATCATCCCCCATGCGCTTCCTGGCATATGAGTCCCAGTTCCTATGCCGCCTTTTGGCTAGTACCTGTACTATTTAGAAGGGCGCTCACCGATCGTTCCTACGGATCTCACTCGTTCCGTTGTGCCTTACGGGCTCTCTCTCGAGTCCAACCAGCAGCCGCACAGCGGCGCATAATATAGGCAGAATGGTTGTATATTTTCGATCGAAACCGATGGGAAAACGGCCAGCGGCCCAGTGGTTAGAGGCGTTAGACTTCTTACCAACAGGTCGCGAGATCGAGCCTCAGGAGTTCCACACTTCGGGGTTTGGTATGACTGGTGACGACGACTAATAAGCCAGAAATGGCCATTCCAGTCTCCCTTGTCTTTTTCGGTAATACCATTCTGCCAGTACCTGTACTGTCAGTACGACATTTTCCATCGTCATTTCCGTCTAATAATTAAATTATTTGTGGTTTTTAGATGCGTAAACGGATGTAAATGGTCTTTGAGTATATTTAAACGGAATGGCAAATATCAAATTAAAATTAAACACCTCGATTCTTATTCTTCTTGATGCGGTTTGCAGACTGGAGTTGACGCACTTGCCCTCCACATGCATGGGCGTTAGACGGACTAACTCGTTTGATTGCTTTAAAGCGTCTCCTAAAATAACTTTCGGCAATCGACACAGAAAAACGCAATTAAATATGGCTGGGTATCTAACTATTTACTAGTTCCTTGAACAATTTGGCCCGTGGCCGCAGATGTAAGCCTCCCCTCACAAATTGGCGACTCCTACGTTATGTAAACAGATATTATCCTCAAAACAGTCACCCGACTCCACCCTACGTGTGGCAGAAAATTTAATTATGAGGCTGACACGCCGCAAACCGGGACGAAATTCACCGAGACAAAGGACATTGTTGTTGGTTTAGTAATGTCCTGTCGCAATCTAAGTGCACTATGGGTACTATCAACTGAAGCATTCCCAAATGTCCCTCACCAAGCATACAAGTTGTTATCTAGATGCCATTCTGCCAATCGATAGCCTTTGGCGTGTCTACCTCGACGAGCAGCGTACGATGCGAAGTGCTTCTGTGTCATCGCATAAAACTTGCTCAGACTGGAGGTTGTATTTCAGACAGGTCACATTTCAGCAGAGAGTTTTGCTAGCATTAGGAAGACAGGGACCAGGCAGAATTCCTTGAGAGTCGACACAGGACTTCCGCTTGTTGAAGTGCCAGGAAGGATTTTCAGCGTGAAAGTCTCTCCGCCACCATCGTTATCGGTCGCCAGTATGATGCTGACAGGTTCATTTCCCATTGGTCCGTTTAGCAGGACAACTGTTTCATCTAAAGTTCAGGGAGTTAGGCGTAAGAAGTTCAGCGTCAGTTTGACAAGAGGGCTATGCCTTTAACAAAGCCAATATGAAGGGATCCCAAATTGCTTATCCAAACAGAGGGAAAAGTTGGCTTGTAAACTCTACATCAGAAGCATGCATTTTGACGTCATTGTCTTTTTAGTGTTTTAACATTTTCTTTTCGTGTGGCACGTTTGCGGGGTAAGCAATAGATTCCTGGTGACAGCTTGATTAGTCATTTTTTAAATATATAAACTGACAAGCATACTGAGTGAACAGCCTGTTACGATATATGACATTTAAGCAAAACTAAGCGACTCCTCAAAAGCGACCTACATTGGTAATACATGTGATAATTCTTTTCTCTCAAGTGAGCATCAGGGGGTGAATTTCAAATTTTACACCAAATGGCAATAATTACTAATAGGTGGTTTCAAAATCACCAAGTGTACAAATCGTAAGGTCAGTTTGTATTTGAAACAAACGCCTAGTTCATAGAGTTAGGACGAAAGAGAAGTTGGATTACTTTTAAAATTTGTCAGCGGAAGTGGTGGAATTGAGCCCTGTGGAAAGAAAAAGTTAACATGCAGTTGACACACGTAGTCGAGAATTTTAGCGTATAAAATGCCGTGTAATCTTACTGTAACGCGAAATTCAGCCGTAAAACGTCCATCAGTCACTACCCTACCATTTTGCACTGCCAATCGGCCGAGTACGAGAAGTCCATGTGGTGGAATACGATCTGAAAAACAATACTATGAGTTACGGTGGTTATTTTCCCTGGGCATTACTGCCAAATGCATGAAGGTCGCTTACCGTTTACTTGAATATAAGCACCTGAGCCTTCAGACTTTGAAATTGAGATAGGATCGTCGCCTGTTGGGATGCTTGTGCCCGCAGGAATGGTAAATGTTTCTCTGTGGCCTGTCAAAAGAAACGCTGATTACTTCGATATGGCATTTGTTGCGTGCGGTTTTGTGCGGTTATGTGAAAACGACTTACCGCTGATCTGACCGCATACTTTATTGGGATCACTGCATCCTGTCCTCATTGCCTGTAAAATAAAAATATAATCCAAAGTTGAGTTCAGAGATGCACGATCATAAAGATAAACTCGAGTAACAGTTATTGTATTCCAGGATGAAATGCAAGCGATTCTAGTTACGAGTACACATGCATTATGAGTGAATAAAGCATTCATTTGAAAAGTCACCCGAGTACCTGCGCTTCGAATTCCACATTTACAAACTCATTGTTAATTTGTGTCCCAGGCTTGCGATAGATTGTTTGCTCATTGACTTTACTCAATGCTAGCAGAAAAGACAACAAATGCATTTATAGACATGTTAAACTTAAACTTTATGATGGACTGCTTGGATTAAGGTAGAATGGACTTACCCAACGCGGAAAGACTGAGTACAAAGCAAAAAGGGATCGACAAAGTCATGTTTAGCTGTTTAAGAGTGAATAACTGAGATGGTCAATCCGGTCCTTTTTATCAGAAAGCGTTGGTGCGCTGTGAAAACCGCTCGGCCTATCGAGTTGGCGCCTCTGCTCGCCAAATGGTCAGTAGATGGTTGCGCCACATGGGGACGTCAGTTAACCCAATCGGGAATTATACAGGCGTAAAAAATGACACCAGATATTTACACTGTTCATGTGCGGAGTAAACTGTGGAGAGCAATGCTCCACTAAGGCCCCAACACAACAAGCTTTACCTCCCCCCCCCCCTCCTCCAAAACTCAACCAATAAGGTTGATGGGAAAATTGCCATTGGCTGGCGCACAATTGGGATTATTGGGTGCATCAAAGAAGGCGGCTGAATGCATAGATTATGACGTCTTTGCAGGACATCCACCCACGGCTTCCACTGCAAAAATCTTAACAACGTAGAATACGAATCACAAGTGCATTTCTTCTTCACAAATATGAGACTTAACGATGAAAACTGGAACGACCCAATACTGTTAGCATTGACTATCAAGCGCCGGATACTGCACAGTCGAATCACCGTGTAGGTGTCAGTCAACGTAAATTGGGTTTTTTCACATATAAACTTGATTTGTGCCAGGAGACCGCTTAGTTTGTATTTGTATTTCTTGAGATGTGTAGGCATTTAGCATGTGCTAAATAGATCCACTTATAATACAGCCTCCAGCGTTGAGTTGAGGCATCTAACAAAAACGTCCACTGAGCCTACAGTTGCATTCCTGAGGTTTTGGCTGCATGACCACGTAAGTAAGCAGTAGGTGTGCACGGACAGTCAGACGCAGAATTACGCCCCATTCACATTGATGCGGATGGGGAAATGGACCCAGAAGCAGAGATGTATTTTGTACAGAACTCCTAGTTGTTTTGACAGATTTTGAATAATTCAAATTGACCCAACTGCGAAAAACTCGGCGACTCGGTGGGATTCGAACCCAAACAGTACGTAGCTGCCGTGGGGTCACATGGTACTATAATTAACAGCTCTCGTCATCGCAGCTGAGGGTCGTAATAAGGGCGATG